CATAGGACATCTAATATGTGTCCCTTGTGAAAGGCTCCTTAGATCCCAAAGGGCTCACAACCCACATACTGAGAACCACTGGTTAGAAGAGCAATTGGCATCACAAGAAGGTTGTTAGGCAGGGGCTGACTGCTATGGGATCTATGCACCCTTTAGGTCTCCTACTTCCCCAAGTGTACCTGCACATTACCTGCTGGTGTTTCCTCATGATAGTGGACTGATTAGGACAGGTGGAGTACTCCTCTAGCTTATGGAAGTGCATGAATTTCTGTTATTTGGGAGGGGTTCAGAAATAGTTTGATTCTAGCAGGAAATAACTGTTCTCTGCTTTTGGCCTTGAGTGCCACTGTCATTGCTGTTGAAGGTTCTTGTTTACATCTTCCTGTGAACCTAGGATAGGGCTGGGTTGTTGAGGCATAGTGATGTGGGTGACCAGAGTTGGCTGACATGGTCTTACTATTTGGAGTGTGTTTCTAGTGATCTGCAGAGCCGGCTCCTGATGGAGCAGAGACAGCTCAAAAAGAAATTGGATATGCTGAGGCAAGAGAAGGAGAACTTACTGGAGGATTGGGTCCTGCTGAAGCACCACTCCGATGACTTGCAAGTGCTCAGTAAGGGTCAAGAGGAGACCAGTGACCTCCAGAACCAGCAACAGCAGATAGGACAGGCAGCTGGGTCACAGTAGGTCAGCACCATTTACTTATGTAACCTTACCAAGTCTACACATCCAGACGCCTGTGCTCTATCTCATCACTTTCCTCCTCCATCCACCCATCCATCCACCCACTTCATGACATAAAATTGTTCATTCTGTGTCTGTGCATTAGTATTTCTGAGAAGTAAGTCTCCTCTGAGAATCTTGGTCATTGGCATGCAATCCCTAATACTCTTCTTGAACCTGTAGTCAATGGGGAGAAACAGGTCAATCACTAATCACACAGCTACAAGTCATTATGATGGGAGGATTGCTATACACAGACTTCAGTTCAAGAGTAAATATTTTTCTAACCATCTCCACTATTTCAAGAGTATCCTCCCCTAGTCCATTTTAGTTCCCAGGAATAGAAAGCTGAGTTTTGGGACTTTTCTTAAAGGCTGGTGTGCTTATTCTAAAGATAACTGCTCCTCTATCACTTTGTTGTTTTCGTCTCATCCCATTCTCTGTCTCTCTCTGTCTCTCCGTGGTGTGTGTGTGTGTGTGTGTGTGTGTGTGTTTGTGTGTTTGTGTGTGTGTAATGGAGGTATGTGGGAGTGCAGTGCATATTTCATGTGGATGACAGCTAGAGGAGATGACTGGGTTTCTCTCTTTGTCAGTCTCTGTCTTATGAACTTGAAGCAGGCTTTCTCATGTCCCCAGGAGCTTGAAATTTCATGAGATTGACTGACCAGGAAGCTCTTGGGATTCTTTGTGTATGCTTGCACTTGTGTGAGAATGTATTGTCTATACTATACTCAACCCTCCACTAAGGACACAATCTTGTAATGAACAGGAGCAGCAAAGAATGGAAGAGAGACTCCAGAGCTTGCTGAAGCAGAGGGAGCTGGTCACACAGCAGAAACACCTGGCAATAAAGCTGCAGCATCATTTGACTGTCTCCCAGATGAGGTAGGAACCCAGGCTGAAGTTGGGGTATGGAGCCAATTGAGTCCCCTGTACCAGGGCTCTCTGTCCTTTGTGGGCTTTTGCTTATCAGCAAGACTCCCTTCTCCGAGCATGGGTAGACCAACTCAGAACTCAGAGAATTATGCTGGTCCCGTCAACAAGAACTTCTGTCCAGCAAACATTATGTTTGATGCTCCCTGGGTCTGTAGACTTGTGTCCCATCCCTCCCTTCTGATCTCTCTGGTATGTTCTCGGCAGGCTTTCCTTGAACACAGAGCTCTGCCTGCTTATGCCTACCAAGTGATGGAATTTAAAGGTGTGCCTCACCATATCTGACTGAAACTACATTTTCATTCAGGATTAGCACCTGTAAGATGAGATTCACACCCTTGTCACTATTTGATGTAACAATGGCTGTCTTCACTGTTTGACCATTTCCCATGTAAAATGTACTGGGGATATAATATGTTTACTCATTGGCAGGATGAAGCCAGGTAGATGTCTCTGCTGAGGATTGTTCAGAACCTTCACCGAGTGTTGTATAACAGACTCCTCTAGAGTACCAGGATGTAGATTCCCAGCTGTAGGCCTAAGGATAACACAGCTCTTTTTGTTTATTGCCAGAGACCATGCAGTGACAATATTCTCAGACACATGTCTCAACAAATACTGCTCTAGCATGACAGGCTCCATCTTGTGTATTACCTGGGTGCAAGGTGCCTTCTGGGGAGGAGGCCTGATCTTTTTACATGACCTTATTCAGCTGTCTAGTTTTCAAAGTTGTATTAAGTCTATGTATAAAAATGAGGTGGTCTTTTTAAAATTATTTTTAATTAATTTTACATACCAACCACAGATCCCCCTTTCTTCCCTCTTCTCACTCCCCACTCACCTTCTCCCCCGACCCTTCATCCCCTCCAACAAAAGGGTAAATTCTCCCATGGTAGGACAGTTAAGCCTGATACAGTCTGTTGAGGCAGGACCAAGCCCCTCCCCACTATATCAAGCAAGAGCAAGGTGTCCAACCATAGGTAATGGGATCCAGAAAGACAGCTCATGCACCAGGAATAGATCCTGATCACACTGCCAGGGGCCCCTCAAACACAACCAGCTCCACAACTGTCTCCCATATGCAGAAGGTCAGAAATGTCAGTCTAAATTTCCTGAGTTCCTTTGGGCTTGGCTCAGTTGTTTCTGTAGATTTCCCCATCATGATCTTTACCACCCTTGCTCATGTAATCCCTCTAAAAATGACAAGAAGGAACACAGCTTAGAATTTTAAGGTTTTCTCTATCAAACCTGTGATAGCATTGTACAACATGGAGAGGAAAATAAAATAATATCAATTAAAATCAAAAATAAGGACAGGTTGTGTGATGGTGCATGTCTTTAATTCAAGCTCTTTGGGAGCACAGGCAGGAAATCTCTGGCCTCTTGTAGCCATCCTAGAATATGGATCAAGTCAGCCAGAGATGCATATTGTAACTCTGCCTAGAAAGAAATAAACAGAAATTGGACAAGAAAAAAATGAGGTAGTTGATGAGAAACTCATCATGAACAGTTTGTATATCTCCACTGTGCTATTATATATGACTTTAATATACTACTCCTTTTGTTTAAATGGTGTCTCTATACTGTAGGAAAAAGTCCTGTTCTTTCTCATTAGAGCACAGTACATACAGTACTCATACCAACATCTCATACTTGTTGAGAGCAGAAAATAATTCAAGGCCCAGCTATTGTGTGACACTTATTCCTTAGGGGTATATACAATGACTGCTGCCAAAGATCAGTGTTGACTGTCCAGCACAATTTAGTTTTTGTGATATCACTGAATGACTGGTGACATGGTGGATCCCCACCAGGACTCTGCCCTTACTAACTTCCTCCTCTAGGTCTGAAAATCTCCAACATGAGCTGGAACAATCCACAGCTCAGGATGAGAGCCTCCTGACCACAGAGCTGCTGCAGCAGGAGCACTAAATGTCATAAGCAAGTGAGCCACCATGACATCCCATCCCCAGCAACATGGCATTTGTGGGGTGGAGTTCTTCCTTGATTCTGCTTTCCTATGTATGAATAGGCCTTGAATTTATCTAGCTAGTGACCCAGCAAGGCTGTTTTAGGATCTGATTGCCTTTTCTTCTCTCACAGCACCCTTTATGAGAACTGAGGAGGCTGAAGGAATCCATAGTCAACTAGAAACACTGACATTCTCCACTCTGTGATCAAGGCCTCCTCAGAACAAGACATGTACTACTAGTTGTGAAATCACCAGTGAGGCAAATATCATCTGCCCTGAGGTCGTCCATCCATAATCTCATCCATGTGTCTGTTGACTCACTAGTTATGGAATAAAGAACCCATCAAGAAGATGCTAGAGATTCAAAAAAATAAACACCAAGAGTTATGCAGAAAAAGCTGACATCTACCAGCAAGTGTTCCCAGTGAGGGCCACAACAACAAGGAGAGACAATATGATTCCACTCATAGTTACTCTGAAAGTTTATTGCTACAAACTTTTGGTAGCTGGCTGAGTCCTGAGCCCTTCATATGTGGAGGGAGATATGTCAACAGAGACTGTGTTGATGTCATGCTGCTATCTAGATAGACCACACAAAGGAAGCATCATATTCTTACTCCAGTCCGGTGCTGGACATACTAAATTTCATGTACATGTGATGGTGAAGAGAATTGTTCTGAGAGATGATTTAGGATGGAAGTCACCATGAGCTTTTATATCTTTTGGTAAGAGATGCTCCCTGTGTCATTTTTTACTCTTGAATGGGCACACAGACACATGTTGGCAGACAGAATCATATAGTGGCAACATGGCATAAGATCAACTTTGGCAAGGACTTAACCTAGAAGCCCCAAAGTGGCATGACTGCACTTGTCTGGAGGAGGTTATTTCAGTGCAGGGTTCTCTTTCAACTTGTGTACAAAGCCAGCCACAGAGCGTAGGACATCTGCATGAAGAAAAAACTTCTTATGTAAATAGTTTTGGTTTGTTT